TCATGCGATGTTCATGATGCATTACACTAAATACATGAAAATGAGATATTTAATTTAAGATGAAACATCTAATTTAATGAAGGCATTCAAGGAATATTACTGAAGCTTTGAAATCTTACTTCGTAAAACATTAATACAGTAAAAAACGTTTATGGGCGTGAATATACAAAATTTTTTTTGACATAAAAAAGCGTCAGCGTTCAAAGAAATATTGCATAATTGCAATTGACAATTGAATTGAGCAGCCATCGCAACTTATTTAGCGTTCTGCCTGAAAGTTTGTTCGAAAGTATTGCTTAGAATTTCACTTCAAGTTCAGACTGTAATAATAACCTGTCGTTCAAAAGTACTGCTGAAAAGTTCACTTCGAGTTCGGACTGTAATAGTGACCTGCTGTTCAAAAGTACTGCTTAAAAGTTAATTTCAAGTTTGGACTGTAATAATGACCTGTCGTTCAGGTCATTATTAACTATCATATTATGTATTTACCACCAAATAACTATAGACCAAAATTGCGCAATGAAGAGAAATCTGGCGGTCATTGGAGAAACACGCGGCCATCGATGTATTATACTCTGTATACTATATTATATATAATCTATTGAACTTTATACAATATAATATATAAACGCCAGTCGATGCTGCTCATGGTCATCGCTATAATATTGAAAACTGACTCTATAACATTGAACATTATTTTTTCATCATTAGTGAGGTTTCTCGTGAGCTTTATGTACTCAGATTCTAATATCAATTTTTGAATGAGTTATGATGCATACAAAAAATTCATTGACAAAATGTCTCAAAAAGAATAAAATAAATAAAAAAATATAACTCAGTACTCACTGCTGTGAGTGACAGAGAGCGCATTTTCACGTCGACAAAAACTTGAGGTCACGGACAGTCGGACGGACAGACGGACAGACAGACAGACAGACGGACGGACGGACAGACAGACAGACGGACAGACAGACGGACAGATAGACAGACAGACGGACGGACGGACGGACAGACGGACAGAAGACAGACAGACAGACAGACGGACAGACAGACGGACAGATAGACAGACAGACGGACGGACGGACGGACAGACGGACAGACAGACAGACAGACAGACGGACGGACGGACGGACATGGCGAGCACAATAGTGCATTTTTCCATAAATGAGAAAATGCGCTAAAAAGAGCCCATGATAGCACACAGTGGCGGGAGCATAGTTGACAGATTTAAATTTTATGCATTTTTCAATAAATAGAAATACAGAAAAAATGAATTATTGCAGCGTATATAAAAAATTTACTCATAAATATCGAATATTGTTCTTTTTTCTGTTATCGAATTCGATCGTTTTCTCGCCACCACCTGGCAACACAGTAAGTTCAGTGCATGGCAGTCATTGTGTTGCTGGCTGTGGTGTGAGACGCACGTACGTCGTACGTCGTGCGTCGTGCGTCATGCGTCGCGTATGTTCCCCAGAGATACGCCGTTACAAAAATGCGTACGGTACTGAAATTCACGCGCACGCAGTTACGTTCCGCCGGTTACGTTACTTAGTCAATAGCGTGATTTAGAATCGTCTAGCAGTACGTTCGTGAGCAATAAATCTAATTTATTTTGAGCAAATTAAATTTCGTTATTTAATTAAATCTATTAGCTAAAGGATTCATCAGGTCATCAAATTTATTTTGATTGTTCGTCGTTTTCAATTCTATTATAATGTGAGAAGGATTTTTCCCTCACATATGATATATACTTTCAACATATACTATATGCACATATACCTATATTGGTATTAGGCATTAATGAGGTATCGATAATTGAATAAAGTAATAATAATAATTATAATGATAACAATAATAATAATAATAATAATGATAATAATAATAATAATAATAAGATAATATAATTGGGAAGAATTATTGAAGATAATTGGGAAATTAACAATAATAAAGTGTATCAACGTCACAAATTACACGAATGAGACGAGATTAGTATCGTCGATAATTATCGAAAAAATTAAATTCGTATGGAAATTAAATTTTAATTTTCACTGTACAGAAGAATCAAAACTTGGCAATTCAGAGAAAATGTGCGACATATATGATGCTGTAAAGTGCGAGTAATATGGACAATATAGACGAGTTAAGTTATTAAATGGCATTATCATTGAATTAAAGTTAAATACTTTAATTATTATTATTAATAATATGCTTCCAGGTAATAATAATATAATAGTATAATATAATATGCTTTCGATGCTTCCAGTTCTTCGTGGCACTTGCAGGGCCGAAAATAAGGCCGGGTTTCTCAGATAAGAAACAATAATTGATGGAAATTAGTTATAACTTATCTTATTTATTAGTTAAAGCAACAACGTATTGTTTGCAATTATTTATAACTATTGACCGACTTACATTGAATTTTATTTTCGAGAGGGAAAATCAATTGCAAATTTTAATACTTGTGTGATGCTGTGGGAAATGTCGATGATTTTGTTTGCAAATTTATATATGACTAAAATATTAATACAGACTAGCCTTGTGTTTCATTAGTTTCAAATTGTGCTTCTAAATTGATTCAAGTCACAACTGAAATGATGTACACAAGCATTCATGTCTTAATTTAAATTTAACATGGAACAATTATATAGCATTGTTATTAAAGCCATTCAGATGTAGGACTTAAAACTGCGGTTTACGAGGCAACCATAAACTTCCGATGATAAGTTTAGTAAGATACTAATTCTTTAGAGGAAGGAATTTTTTTTGTTGCATAATTTATGCAATTCTAAAGAAAACTTTGTTATATTTTTGCAGTTATAAACTTGATTTTCCACTTATAAACGTGACTTTATAATGTCAAAGCTACCATCAAGGCATCCTATAAAGCCAAGAACAAAGACGATCGCAAGGAAACCAGTAAGAAACCAGCCATTCAAGGAAATACATAAAAAAATCTGACATTTCCTAGGATAACATTCAAGAAAATAAGTGAAACATCCGTCTTTTCGAAGCCTAACATTCAGAAGACTGCAGAACAAATTATTCGCACCGTCACGTGCGGGATCGCAAAAACACGAGTCGGATGTTCTGCTCAAGGCCAACACGCGAATTTAGTACCGATTCAAAAGTCAGCGAAATACAGACGCCAAAAATAGCGGCAAAACAGCTGAATTTTGCTCATTTGATAGGTTCGGCCACGTCAATTGCTCCCAATAATTTTACACGCATTAAATGGTCTGGTCATTGCAATTTCTTCCCCACTTTTTCATGCCTAAATGGTCTGGCCATTGCAATTTCTCCCCCACTTTTACATACCTAAATGGCTGTCTCTTATACACATCTAGATGTGTATAAGAGACAGTGCCTAAATGGTCTGGCCATTGCAATTTCTTCCCCACTTTTACATGCCTAAATGGTCTGGCCATTGCAATTTCTCCCCCACTTTTACATGCCTAAATGGTCTGGCCATTGCAATTTCTCCCCCACTTTTACATGCCTAAATGGTCTGGCCATTGCAATTTCTCCCCCACTTTTACATGCCTAAATGGTCTGGCCATTGCAATTTCTCCCCCACTTTTACATGCCTAAATAGTCCGGCCATTGCAATATAGTTCTCCCTCCAAGCCTCCTTCCTCTTCAAGGCTACGGACGTTAAATGACTCCTGAATTGCTGTGAATTGCAGGGCCTGGGAATGATAACCTTGCGAAAAAATCGATGGCTACGAAAACTTTACGATAAATTCGATGAATATCTCCAGCTGATAAACTCACAGGTCGTATAGCGTTTAAACTCATGAACGAGTTAAAAAAATGGCTCCAAATATTTTTGGGCTAATAATTGAATACATTATGCTTACTTACATTCAAGACGAGTAACTGTTTTCCAGAACATAATTTTGAAGAGAAAATAAATGTTGTATTATTTGCTCGTTTGAAATATTCGTTGAATTTGGAGGAGTAAAATTTCTTCATGCAAGAGAAGCGTGAAGCTTGACTAATTAATCCTAGTAATAAAATATAATTTTCGCTCCCCAAATAACCATCAACTTTGACTCCAGGAAATGCTAATTAGTTTAACATTTAATCTGACTGCGTTGATACGTTCGTATACACCTGACACCCTCATATATGTTGACACGCTCGTATAGGTAGCGTAATAGTTGAATTACACCTAACCACCGGAATTTGAGTCTATAATTAATTGCCTTCCCTCTAATTATAATGCATTATATGAAGTTCAACTCGACCATTACTAAGTTAAGGTTGATAGTTTGGTTTCTGTTCAACTCGCACCATTACTAAGTTAAAGTTGATAGTTTGGTTCCTGTTCAAGGTCATTCAGTTCATTTATAATACAATTGGCTTGCACGTTTGAGCGCTACACTCAGAGAACTAGTCAGACTTTGTCCAGTCAGTGATGCACTTTTTGCCCTTAATTGTGTGGGTCATTCTGACCCAGTTTGGCCCACTGCACAAGGGCGCGCGCATCAGTGCTACGACCGCTCTTTGTTCGTGTTGGGGATAAGAAAGTGAGTCACTGTTTGGACAATACAATCCATTAACTTGTGTAATGATAATCGAGCTCATTAAGAATTCGAGCTAGTATAAATATATATAAATATAACTGTAATTCCAATAACATAACAACTTACAAACGCTGCTCGTCTGTGGAAATATCGTTGTTATTGTTAGTTTACTTAAATATTAATATGGAAACTTATGACCGATCGTAATTCAATAGCTACTCGCTATATTTATATTTATTTATCTAAAACTTTCTGAAAAAATTACCATAATTTAATTAAAAACTTTTATGTTAAGTTTGAAACGAGAAAATATTATTTTGCAGAGGAGCACGATATTTTTGCTAATATATTTTTCATTTTCAGAAGTCGCATCATATTGCCACATACACATTTTTTGGGGTAATTATTCAGTTAGAATGCAATTTTGCTCAATTGAATGTATACGAGAAAAGCACGGACACTAATTTAAAAATGCCCAAGTACGAAAAATTCGACAACGGTCAACCGTTGTCTGTTGACGACCTGAAGCAACATTATCATCACTCGCAGCCTCAACAAATCTACGGCAGCACTGCTCAACAGCTGGTGGAAACAGGCCCTGTCGACTCCTATTTCAGGTGCGTAATACGAAATTAATAAATGTTGTGTAAATTGTACAAAGTGAATGTAAATTGAATGTAAACTGCTAGAGTAATGGGTGATTGTAAATTGTGATTTTCGTGTAATGCAATATATGTTCCATCCCTTAAATTGTGTGAAACAACTTGTTCGTATGGATGTATAGTCAGTATAGAGAGCCTGTATATTGCATACACTCAACACGAACGTAAAATGTTCGTACTGTAACTTGATAGATTGCTTTTAAATATACTGGCTATAGCTGATGAGGCTTTGTACTAAAATAATTAAAATAAAATTTTTAATTTTTGTTTTAAATTCTCACTCAGATTTATGCCAATTCAAAGAATCCAACGTAGTCTATATACAGTATATGGCACTCTATATTACCTGCACTGTTTGAACGGCATCATATTTCTTTACATTGAATGAAAAAATTACATTGAATTCACACCGAATTCATTGAAATTACATTGAATTCACACCGAAATAAATATAATATTCCTTGCATGCGATCAAGTCAGTTCTAAGCATCATCTTCAACTTGGGTTACGTAATATAAACAATTTTCAATTTAGTTGAAAGATCCTTTTCTTATACATTTTTTTCATCAAACTTGCAAGAAAATGTTTAAGTGTAAATTCAAGGTGCATTAATGTTGAAAAGATTTTGGCCATGGGCTCGCCACGACAAGCTGCATTCAGGCTCCTCAGCAGCGACTAGACCAGGCGCTTTAACAATGAAGGGTTGCTTCATTGATGACGAAAACGGCATTTTGGGGGCTATGGTGTCTCAAAAATTCCTAAAGCCGTACAAAATACGCACACATTGCGCGACAATTATATACAGTACACTTTGCGCCCTGATATACGGTACACTATACGCGACAATATCCTCTAACACTATACTCGACAATATACGGCGCACTTTGTGTGACAATATACGGCACACTTTTCGCGCTGATATACGGCACACTTTGCTCGACAATATACGGCACACTTTACGCGCCGATATACGGTACACTTTGCTCGACAATATACGGCACACTTCGCTCGACAATATACGGCACACTTTACTCGAAAATATACGGCGCACTTTGCGCGCAGATATACGGTACACTTTGCGCGACAATATACGGCACACTTAATTTGTGCGACAATATACGGCACACTTTGTGCGACAATATACGGCACACTTTGCGCGACAATATACGGCACACTTTGTGCGACAATATACGGCACACTTCGCTCGACAATATACGGCACACTTCACGCACCGATATACGGTACACTTTGCTCGACAATATACGGTAGACCTTGCTCGAAAATATACGGCAAACTTTGCGCGCAGATATACGGTGCACTTTGCTCGACAATATACGGTAGACCTTGCTCGAAAATATACGGCACACTTCACGCACCGATATACGGTACACTTTGCTCGACAATATACGGTAGACCTTGCGCGACAATATACGGCAAACTTTGCGCGAATTGATGATATCTGCTGAATATTTCTTTACTTCACATGCTACCAGTTCTGTTTCTTTTCGAATGAAAACATTTTTGTTGTCGTGTTCAATCATTCGTTCTCGTTTAACGAGTTTTGCATTGTAAAATAACTATTTATGAGTAACGAAGTGCAGTTCATAAAAAATATGCTTTTACACGCAACAATAGATTATGCAATCTTTCCGTATTGTCCCAAGGCACATGCAATAACTATACGAACATTTATCTTGATGTTATCGTATAGTACGACGTTAACACCCAGCCTTTGATATTCATCGAAAGCTCAGGCATTTGAAATAACGTAAATGAGTCACAATGTTGACCGTCACGGTGTGACCATTGGAGCGTTACAACTGCGACCACAAGACGGTAAGCTGGCCTTGACACTGAAACTTGGCCTACAATGTCCAGCCAATATAAATGCAATATCCAGCCAATATCCAGCCAATATCCAGCCAATATCCAGCCAATATCCAGCCAATATCCAGGCAAAATATCCAGCCAATATCCAACCAATATGGCAATATCCACCCAATATCCAGTCAATATCTACATAATATCCAACCAATATCCATCCAATATCCAATCAATATCCAGCCAATATCTACCCAACATCCAGGCAATATCCACCCAATATCCATCCAATATCCAGCCAATATCCAGTCAATATCCAGCCAATATCCAGCCAATATTCAGCCAATATCCAGCCAATATCCAGCCAATATCCAGCCAATATCCAGCCAATATCCAGCCAATATCCAGCCAATATCCAGCCAATATCCAGCTAATATCCGTAGTCAGTTCTGTAACAATGGACACTTAGGATATATATTTAACGCGTCTCAAGATCTTCAAGTCGAGTATCTGCTCGCTGAGTAAATGCGTCAAGAATAGTTGAAAATTCGCAAGAAGTTCGCGTTTCAATTTAAGTCTAATCTGAATATGTTTATTTATTTTCGGCAATTGGTTATAATTTTCAGTGCACAAATTATAAGTTTCATCTTCACTTCATCTGATTTATACATTTTTCAGGAAATCCTTGATTGCCACTGATTAGTTATTTAAATAATTAATTATATCTTTGGGTAATTGTATTTTTCCTATATATTGAAATTTGGGGCAGTTCATCATCGCAAAGAGCGGCCGCGGGCTCGAAATGAAAGGAGGCAAAATGGAATGTAAAATATAATTTAATGTAGAATAGTGTACTGAAATTTAAATTAAATAACTTCAGAAGTATATTAAAACAGTCTGAAAATTTCAGAACAATCAAGTTTCAAGGAACACGGCAAATGAAACTCAATACGGTACTGTCTTCAACAAATGGGGTTTAGCATTAATTTAGCTGTCACTAGTTAGGCTTTAATCTAATTCTAAGGCAAAATTTACACAGTATAGTATTTCACTAGTTATAAAGGGTCCAAATAAATCCTGAAATTCGCTGAAACTTTTACTGAACGACGGATAAAAAGGCGCTAAACTATAGCTAATGCGTGCAACTGGCCGAAATTCTTCCTGAAAACGGTGCCGTTTTCTGTACAAGTTTTTTTTCGAATGTATTCAACAAATTGTGTTTGTCCATAAGTCATTAATACTGCTCATGTTAAGCCTTGATTATTTTGTCATACATATAATGACTCTTTTAGAAATAAAGCATGATTTTGCTTTTTGAGATAATTCCTTAAATTGGAGACTCAGGTGGAGATCGATGCTTGTACACGTTTTGCACACGAACTGCATTGACTTAAAGACTATAATTTGATGAATAAACTAAACTATCATTTTATTTGCACAAACTCACTCCGAGACTTTCAAATAATTTCAACAAGATAACGAAGGAATCTACCAGCAGAATCCTTCTATATGATCCTATATCACCAGGAAACAGTATTCCGCTAATCAAGGGAATTAATAAGAAGTTTAATAATAATATTGACGCTAAAAATGAATACTGTATATATATATTTACTTGAACGAAAGGAAGAAAATTTTCGGCATTTAGGCCTATTCGCTAAAGCATATTCCGAATCTTGGTAACATTCAGCAAAGTAATGTTGAAAAATGTTGACATTTAATCTCCTACATATTTAATCTTGTGAAAAATATTTAAATATGAAAACTTTTAATTGGTTCACAAAACTGTACACACTCCTAGCTTACACTATCGCGTGCATCAACTGTACTTGCACAGCATGCAATGTAACGCGTACACTGTAATGTCCTGGTCACGCACTCACAGAAATCAGATGGTAATTGTCCAAATAGCGATGCACCTTTTGCTCTTGTGTAGGAGCTATATACATATACATCCTTACCTATGGATACATATACCTATCCTATGTATATATACATATACATATACTATATACATCCTTACCCAGGTTGCCTTGCAAAGCGGCGTATCAGTGCTACGTCTATTCTCTGCTCCTTCTGTGGGCAAGAAAGTGAGTCAACATTTTGACACTATGACTCACTGATTTTCATGAGTGTGTCAACATTTTGACACTATGACTCACTGATTTTCATGAGTGTGTCAACAGTTTAACACTATGACTCACTGATTTTCATGAGTGGTTCAACATTTGGACACTATAGACTCACTGATTTTCACGAGTGTGTCAACATTTGGACACTATGACTCACTGATTTTCATGAGTGTGTCAACATTTGGACACTATGACTAATTAATTTTCTCAACATTTGGACACTTGACTCACTAATTTTCAGGAGTGTGTCAACATTTGGACACTATGACTCACTGATTTTCATGAGTGCTTTGTGTAGCGCGTGCACTTTCATTTTCATTCACCGCCATACAACTACAGGAAGTGCATGATACAAAACACGCCCATGCAAACACACGCAACGGTGCGCATGCGTGACACGAACGATGCTCAATCAAGTAGAAAATGAGAACAATTTGAAGAGAAACGAGATTTTGTTGAATGATTCGAGAGATTTGGGAAAAACCGTGAAAAAGTTTACGAATGGCAGTAAACAATTAAAAAAAAGTTGCAGTTAATTTAGAGGGAAAAAAATAATGTGAGGTAGCCGGTAACGTTTTCATTATGCGTGAAATAATAAAAAGGATAATATAAAAAATAATAATAATGATGATGATAATAACAATAATAATAATAAAATAATAATAAAATGAATAAAATATTAATAATACTAATATTATTATAATACGAATAACGTTGAAAGCAATTATTTCAACCGCGCTCAAGTAGAAGAAAAAAGATGGAACTTTGGTTAACCCTAGCTCGAGACACGGCTATATATAAGGCAGCCGTAAGTTCCTTGACAGGTTCCATATCATATTTATAGCTGCCAAGTATTATTATACAATTGGTTATTCGCGCAGTCTTAACCCACGCCATACAACACAGTCTTGCAAGAATGTCTCCCTGTTCATAAAATGTTTAGGGATATTTTATTGATGACTTATGATAAGAAATTAGAGATTTAGCCTATATAGAGTATATTATTTGGATGATTAGAATCATAAAAGGAATGAAATACTGAGGCTTGTCATGATATCTATGTGGATGTCGGCTATAGTTTAACAAATTGTAGTGCCTTGTACATGAACTTGCTATTCAAAAAACACAATCAAAGGGTGAAATAAAAAAGTCGCGTCTGAATTCCTATGCATTGTCTCGTTTCAGTAACATTTTTTTGTTGTTTACGACGTTTATAGAGATTGTTTGTTAATGTATGAACATTTAATTATGTTGATCGTAAAGTTATAAACGGTGCTGTTGTTTCAGCATTATGTCTACAATAATAAAATGATGAAGAATGCTTACCTCGCTATACCGAAGCTCAAATCACAACCGCATGCCAGAATTTTTTAGCCCTGATGCCAACTCATTGTATTCTCATTGGCTGAAAAATGGTCACTGACCCTTCGGTTAACCTATCAGAATGCAGTTTGCTTAGCAGCACGCATCTCATTGGCTCGCTGTCACGAGCAGCTGTTTTCCCTTTCAGCCGAGACAAGAAGCTTCTTACTCTCTCTTCGCCAAGCAAACAGGCAACGTTCAGTCAAGTTTCCTTGATAAACAAAACTCAAGTTAACGCAGTGTACAGCTTCTTTGAAGTATGAATTCAAACTAATTATACTTCAAGAGTGAAAATTTGAACTTGCTCTCAGTTCTAGTGCGTCATTCTTCCGTTTGTTAGACAAGTATGTTTTGACGAGTATACCACAGCACGTGTATCGTTTTCTGTGTGAAGGAAATTTCTTGCGAAAGAAAATAATTATTTGAAGGGAGTACTAAAGTGTTTCTTGTCAGTTAGTGACTTTTAAAATAAACGAATCCGTAGTCCGCAGAACGGATGTACTCGTAGTTAATATTTATGGATGTTTTCAGGAGTAGCAAGTATTACTTTTTTTACGAATGAGCTGAAAATATCATACATTTTGCTTCTAAAACCAATTAAAATGCTATTAGGCTTTTAATTTCAAGTCAAAGACGTGTACAGTGCTATTCTTTGTTTACTTCTACTCACGTACCTCCATGTAGAAGATATATATACTGATCGCTATTGTGATACTATAAATTATCATATTATCATAAATTATCATTCAATCTTTAAATATCAATTTTAAAAAGATTTATTTGGATAGAACGAGTGAAAGTAGCATTTAGTGCCCATCGTTTCTTTATTTCCACAATTTATTTCTATCTGTCAATAAGGTTCGTTAAAATTTAACTTTCAATGGAAAATTCGGGCGTTTGCTATTTCTGGGCTGAACAATAACTAAATGCGTAAATGGAAATAACAATTTACATAAAAATGTCGACTGAAATGTAAACAACTAGAAAAATCGAAATAACTATTCACAGCTTTTCCTTATGAACAGCAAAATGAGGTAGCAGAGAAAAATTAGAATTTTAAAATTTCCTCATTTTTTGGATATCGTCATAAACGAACGACATTTGGATGACCAATCATGAGGCTGCGGAGAAGGTGAGTCATTGCATTGTTATTTTGGAAATTAAATACGATATAATATGACATAAATTTAATTGCAACTTTGTGAATACTTCCGCCTCCGTCACTTGTGCTCCATATTTGGATAAATTTTCTCATACTTACATTTTTCATTATCAAAAAGATATGTTTTTTTTATTCATATACAATTTAACAAACACAATGCATTATTATTATTATCATTTATGTATTTATTCAAGTTACCTAGCTAATGAGTACAATCAGCTCCAACACACGCTCAGTAAGGGCAATACGTTCAGTAAGGTCCCGCACGTGTATGGATTGATACTACCACTTACACTAAGGCCACTTAGGGCTCATACACTAAGGGCTCGTACACTAGGGGTACGTACAATAAGGGCCCGTACACTAAGGGCTTGCACATCAAGGCCACGTACACTAAGGGCACGTACATTAAGGGCACGTACACTAAGGGCTCGCACATTATAAGGCCACGTATAGTAAGGGCACGTACAGTAAGGGCTCGCACACTAAGAGCACATACACTAAGGGCTCGCACATTAAGCCCACGTACACTAAGGGCACGTGCATTAAGGCCACGTACACTAAGGGCACGTACACCAAGTTTTCGTACATTAAGGGCACGTACACTAAGGTCACGCACACTAAGGACACGTACACTAAAGGCACGTACACCAAGGGCACGTACACTAAGGGCACATACACTAATGGCTCGTACACTAAGGGCACATACACTAAGGACTCGTACACTAAGGGCACATACACTAAGGGCACGGACACTAAGGGCACATACACTAGGGACTCGTACACTAAGGCCACATACACTAAGGGCTCGTACACTAAGGGCACATACGCTAAGGACTCGTACACTAAGGACACGTACACTAAGGACTCGTACACTAAGGACACGTACACTAAGGGCTCGTACACTAAGGACACGTACACTATGGGCACTTACACTAAGGGCTCGTACACTAAGGACACGTACACTAAGGGCTCATACACTAAGGACACGTACACTAAGGGCACATACGCTAAGGACTCGTACACTAAGGGCACATACGCTAAGGACTCGTACACTAAGGGCACATACACTAAGGGCACGTACACTAAGGACACGTACAGTAAGAGCACGTACACTAAGGATTCGTACACTAAGGGCACATACACTAAGGGCACGTACACTAAGGACACGTACAGTAAGAGCACGTACACTAAGGATTCGTACACTAAGGACACGTACACTAACTAGGGCACGTACACTAAGGATTCGTACACTAAGGACACGTTCACTAAGGGCACGTACACTAAGGACACGTACACTAAGGGCACGTTCACTAAGGGCACGTACACTAAGGACACGTACACTAAGGGCACGTACACTAAGAGCACGTACACTAAGGGCAGCAGTGTTGCAGGGTAAGGACAAAAGGCAAGGCATGTTCCGAGTTTGACCTCCAGCCCTGCGTGGCAATCGTGAAGGACAAGCGTGTGATTTTTTTTCAAATGAAGAATTTTATTTATTTTTTTTTAACCTCGCATTCAACGCTGCCGGGCCTGACCGGTTGCAGCCGGACGGGTTTTCCGGTTTCTTCTGCGCTGTAATTTGATAGCATTTTATTGGTCGTTAATGAATGGTTATTGCCATGCGCGGTCACTTCACAGAGTTGGACGGTGGAGCTTTATTCGAATAATCCTCAATAATCAAAGATTGCGTTATTTGATCTATACAAGCCATATTGTTCAAGGTATTCAGCGGTAGAAATATAGAGCAAAAATGTATTGGGTTATATTTGGTTCTGAGAAATTGTTGTGGAAATTGTTGTGGAAAGAAATTAGAATGAATAAATTTTTATCAGCTTCTTCTATAAATTCGGTTTTTATATTGGCTATAAAGAATGTAGTTACGACTATGCGAAGATTTAAATATTTACGGTTTTCCAATAAATGGATTTCCTCAAAAATTGAACTTTAACGACGCATAAATAGAAGTCGAAGAAAATAGCATGCTAAACGTACGTCGTAGTATACAACTCGCAGTACATCTAACAATTTTCAACTTTTATAAATTTGCTCTCAAGTACGTAGTTTACAGAAAATTTACCATAAAAACTCTCATTGCCAATGAATTTATTTTATTTCTTTCGTCAACCAAGTTTTTCTGGGCAATTCTTCATGCCATTGTCGTACCCCTACACGAAAACCCTTGCCGCATACAGCCACCATTCACTGCTGCTGTCATTCATTGATTCGAAACATTATTCTTTCATCATACACTGTGAACAATCTTCACCATCTGTCCCTGCAAGAGGATCCCGGAAACACTGACAGGTTTTTAGCATTAACTTCTTACAGCCTCGTCTGAAGAGTACGTTTCTTCTGCATGCAAATTGCGCAGGTTAAATCTGTAGTCGAGACGCGCGTGACCTTCACTTGATTGCATTGAAAAGCAAAACCTGAAGCTTTTCAGCTTATTTTACTGTATTTTATTTGCTACTTTCTTAATCATTACGTTAATTTTACAAGCTTTTCAGCTTATTTTACTGTATTTTATTTGCTACTTTCTTAATCATTACGTTAATTTTACAAGCTTTTCAGCTTATTTTACTGTATTTTATTTGCTACTTTCTTAATCACTACGTTAATTTTACGAGCTTTTAAGCTTATTTTACTGTATTTTCATTTGTTACTTTCGTAATCACTACGTTAATTTTACGGAGCAGTAATCTAAGTAAATGCAAACGCTTAGAAGACGCCGATTAAAAGACCTATAGCGTCTTGAGAGTACAAGTGCTGAACACCGCTGTGTGAATGGTGAATGCGGCTGTATGAATGGTGAATGCGGCTGTATGAATGGTGAATGCGGCTGTATGAATGGTGAATGTGGCTGTATGAATGGTGAATGTGGCTGTATGAATGGTGAATGCGTCTGTATGAATGGTGAATGTGGCTGTATGAATGGTGAATGCGGCTGTATGGAGGGTGAATGCGGCTGTATGGAGGGTGAATGCGGGATGTATGAATGGTGAATGTGGCTGTATGAACAGTGAATGGAAGTTTCATTGGAAAGAATAGATGTCAATGCACGAATAAAATTAATTTGTCACATTATCCAAATATTGACACACTTCTGCACGTTGTACTAATACGCCTTATCGCCTGGCTAAGCTGGGTCAGGATGTCCTACACAAGGTTAAAATGAATCGTAATTTGGACAATAACCCCTTCATTTCCATGAGTTATACAGAGCCTTGACACTGTAGCACAAGGCGGTAGTGACGCGCGTGTAGATGCATTCTTTACGCCTGGTTTTGCTGCTCGGCCTTCGTCTCTTCCTAGGCTTGCATTGATAAGAAAATTGTTTATAAATATTGCTTACGTAAAAATTCTGCGTCGCTGAGATAGCATGGTTTTGCATGGTTTTATTGAAAGATTTTGTGAATATCCGCTATTGAACTACATATTTTCATTTGTAAAATTTTTAAATTGACGACATCGTGCGCAATTTCGAATTAAAATCCCTGTGCAGAAATTTTCTTATTTTCAAGTAAAATGTTACAAAAAAGTCGAAATATATTGTTCAAGTCGCAGAAGCTGCAAGGGTATATTTATTGATGTGATAATTTTTTTGAGGATGCAACAGACTTGATGTAAAAATGAAATAATTCAAAAATTATGAGAAGCCATGTCTCAATTAGTCAAGTATCGTACAAATGAGTCAAAGATTGTGAGTACATAAAGACACACTTAAAAGAACCGAATTTCTGAGGAAATCACCCGAATAATTACGCATCCATGAATACAAATAGAGGCTCCTTATGATTTGAATTCGTCCATTCATGTAGTACGCATTATTAAATAACAAAAATTAGCTGAATAAATTCATAATTAAGATGGGACCCTGTAGTATGAGTAACCTTCCTATATTCATATGTACGTTGGTGGCTATTCATCTGAACATTTTTCCTGCCATAGAAGTTATTGTTGTCGTAGAGGTCGCCGTGTATCAGATTATATTGTTTTGAATCACAGAATTGTTTGCAAATGTTTATGGTCACTGTTGTAAATTACTATGTACAGGTCGGCAGGAATTTGTATGACTAAAAGAACAACCTTGGCTTTTTCTCCGCATTGCTGGGAACTTCGGCAGCTTCGGGATGAGAATTCCGAGCAAAATAAAAATATGTGCGATGTAGAAAATCGCATTTGAGAGGGAAAATTGTGCGCTTGCGTTATGCATGATAACTAAAATTATATATAGTTTATGAGCCATCAAGCGTTAGTTCGCATGCTGCGCATATGTGTTGAGTATAGCAAGTGGATAGCTCATCGTGGCAAGCAGTTTCAATTTACAAATATATAAACTCTATTATTTTTGAACTCCCTAGTAGTAGTTTATAGTTACAGAATACTAGTGCATTAAATATTTGAGTTGTATGGAACTTGCGTAAAGGTTCGCTGTTTGTTTTTACATTATATTTGCCTAGGATCCCTTGAAAAGTTTATAGGCATGAAGAACTAACAGAAGTAGTGTATTGTAAAATATGAACAGTTGAAACATTAATGTTGGTAATTGAAAACTGAAACTGTTTATGAGTGAATTTTAAATTTGGATGTAATTATGCGTAATATCTTATATGACGTAAATTTCGAACGCTAACTCAGAAATTCTTCAGTTTTCTTTATCAATTCTATGTTTGTTGAAAAATAAATTGAAAACTGAATTTGTGTTAGGCGTGAGGTCGATATTGGACAACACATATACATATATCATAGATACATTTTAAAAGCCGCTCGGACTCTGAAATAAATAAGTGAGACTTTGTTCAAATAACGACGCATTTTTTGCTCTTGTGTGGCTCGTCATGATCCAATTTATACCTGTAAAAGGGCGTCTCGGTGCTGTTTACAAGAAATTTTATTTTTATTTATTATTTTTTTTACTGGAATTTTTTTTGGACACAAGGAATTGTGTCACTATTGCGACGAAACGACCCATCATTTTTCTGAGTGTACGGGTTGCCGCAGCACATCCGGCGATCGTAAAGCATCAACAGTTCGTGACCTTGACCCTAACCTTGACCTCGACAACCTGTATCCTTGTTAGGCATGGTTGCCTGGTGCAGGATATACCAGCGGTCCTGACCTTATATACTTATATATACTTATACTTATTGATGTGATATATACTTATATGGTTGCTGTGCTTATGCTTATATATGTTTGCTTATATGGTTGCTGTGAAAAATATTGATCTCGATTCTTTATATATTGGAGTAAAGTTGTATAGAACATGCGGTACATCAACTACTGCAAATGGTGTACAAATTGAATTGGTGCGAATATTGTACAGCAATTGTGTACATATTTTAATTGCAACGAATATTGTACAGCATTTGTGAACATATTAAATTGCAACGAATATTGTATAGCATTTGTGTACATATTTTAATTGCAACGAATATTGTACAGCATTTGTGAACATATTTTAATTGCAACGAATATTGTACAGCATTTGTGAACATATTTTAATTGCAACGAATATTGTATAGCATTTGTCTACAGATCGAATCTCCTAAAAATTTCCATAGTTCGCAGGTAAGAGATAAACTTGAGCCGCGTGAATGCTTCCAAGAAAGGCATAAACCCAGACCTATAGGCTTACAGAGGCCTAAGGCAAATATTTTTTCTACTTTTCATTCTATTTACTGAGCAAGTTTCAAGGCTAAGGCCATGTTTGCCATTAGCTTGCCAAGGAGCGTCTTGGTAAATATAAGGCCTTAGTTCGCTATGTTGACAAGCGCGCAAGTGCGAGCGTGTATCGCAACGGCCGCCCAGAAAAATCGATGGTTAATTTAGTCCAAATTGCGATGTAGTTACACCAGCATCAAAAGTCTGTTACTGTAAGAAGATGTTTAGTTAAGAATATCTTAATTTGCGAAGCTATAATCTAAGAATATGTTGAATTAGAAATATTTCAAATTAAATTTTTTTTTTAAATTCAGGATATTAAATTAGGAATCAAATAAATTAAGAATCCGATGATTTATTCATATGAAAGATTTAAGGAAAGAGCGTTGTTAATATACAAAATTTATTAATCAATGAATCTATTGAATAGTTTTTCACGATCTTGTGAAATTCGAGTAGTTTGGCAGAACTTCTTCATTTATGCAGGTTTAATAGAAGAAACGATCATGATTTTAATTAACTATTTTATTATTGTTTTTTCCAATAAGCCGCAGAAAATTT